ATCTCAGGTCAAGGGACTAACTATACAGCACCTGAATCCAAAGAATTGGATGAACTCATTTGATTTAATGAAGTATGAAATATCTTAGTTGTGGACAATCAGTCATCATTTTATAGCAAAGAAAAAATGGGAATAAAGTAAGGGTTTATTGGGAACCAGCAGTTAGCGTAATGGCTATGTCGCTGGACTCCCACGTAGTCGACCGCGGTTCGTGTCCCGGACCCGGTGGCTTAAAACTCACGCCGGGCGCGTGTGCGTGCGTGCCCAAGATCCCAAGAGGAGAATGGAGGAGAAGGGATTGCGGCGTGGCCATCCCCCCTGGGGGTGATTTCTCACTTTCTGTCTCTCTGTCTCTCTCTGTCTGTCTGGCGAGCGCACGTGCCCTACAGTGAAAATCTCTCCCCCCCCCCCAAAAAAAAGTAAGGGTTTATGCAAAGAATAGATTCCTGAATGTCAAATGCTTCACCAGAATCTACTATTCTGTGTGACTTAAACTATCCGGCAAGAAACAAAAGACAGGAGGTTTGGGTCCCAGACCCAGTGGCTTGAAAATCATGCCAAGTGCATGTGCGTACATGCCCAAGATCCTGGGAGGAGAATGGAGGAGAAGGGGTTATGGCGTAGCCACCTGGGGGGTGATATATTACTTTTCCTCTCATTGTCTCTGTCTCTTTCCAGTGAGCCCTGAGACAAAAAAAAAAAAAAAAAAAAAAAAACTCTTAAAAGCTGCTCGCATAGTGGTTAAAGCAGCTGGACTGATCCTGACCAACTATGTGGTTAGAGTCCTGGACCTGGCAGCTTGAAAAACAAGCCAGGGCACATGTGCATGTGTGCCCAAAATCCTGAGAGGATAGTGGAGAGGGGACTGCAGTGTGGCCATCCCCGTGGAAGTGACTTCTCACTGTCTCTCTCTCTCTGGCAAGTGCATGTGCTCTATAGCAAAATTTAAAAAAAAAAGGACAATTTAATATATATTTAAAAAAATAAAGCTGGTAAAACTATTAACAAATGTGTACAACATAATATAATGCTCAATGTTGGGGAAAATGAATATGGGCATATTCTTGATTTGATTGTTATATACTGTATACATGCTTTAAAAAACACTGTAGCCCACAAAAATATACCTCAATTATATGTAAACTAGAAATCATAATTTCAAAAAGTAATAAAAAAAAAAACAGGAGCCAGCAGATGGCATGGTGGTTAAAGACAGTGGACTCCCACATGGCCAACTGTCCTGGGCTGGGTAGTTTGTTTTCTCACTTTCTCTTTCTCTGGTCAGTGCATATGTTCTGCAGCAAATTAAAAATAATAATAGTAAATAAAATTAAAGAAATAATTCTTTAAAAAAAGAAGACAAAGGTCTGAGCATGCTCTACATCCTCAGTTTATCGATGAGTAAAACGTCTTGCAACACCAGTGAAGTCACCTCTTTCAGCGTTCCCTCCCCTTTGCAAGGTGCGGCCCCGAAGCCAAGCTGTGTACATACCACGTCACTCTTGCTAGTGTAGACTCGGTCTGCCAGACTCTCTATGGCAATCCACTTCACAGGCATCTTAGCGATGCGGCCTTGGCGGTAGTAATCACCACTGTAGATCTTCTTAGAGAGGCCAAAGTCCGCGACGCAGACAGTCATGTCATCTCGCAACCTGGAGAGTGGGTTCACGTCCTCAGCAGCCCAGAAGCAAAACCTGATCCCACAGGTCTGCATCAGAGGCCGCTGAGACACTCACGGTGAGAGCAAAAGATGGAGACCCCATCAGCCTAGGAGGGGCCTGCTTTGGGACCAATGGCAGAGTAAGGCAGAGGGAGTCAGAGGGATAGAGACTCACACTCCTCTGGTCTGTGTGGGGACCTGGACCAGCAAGGGCACCTGTACACAGGGGATGGGACACCTGGAGAGAACAGAGAGGCACAGGAGGAGTAGAAAAAACTGTGGGCCAGAGTACACACGCTGCAAGAAGGAGACACCCGATGGCTTGCTAAGAGGGCCAGGTGAGTGCATGAGGAATTCACTGGAAAATTAAAGGGATATAATTACATTTGTAGTCTAAGCTGTTAAAATAGATCCTAGATGGAGCCAGCAGGTGGCATAGTGGTTAAGGTGCTGGACACCTACATGGTCAACCGTGGTTCAAGTCCTGGATCCAGAGGCCCAAAATCCAGAATATCCAGAATAGACAATGGAGAAGGGACTGTGGTGTGGTCATCCCCCCGGGAGATGGTTTCTCACTTTCTGTCTGTCTGTCTCTGTATCACTGGCAAGTACACATGCCCTGTGGTAAAAATCTTTCTTAAAAAAAAAAAATAAAAAAATAAAAAAGATCCTATACAACAAGGAGGAGGAGGAAAAGGAATAGAAGGGATAGGTACAGACTAACTTGTCCCTGTTTGCCGGACACTGGCTTTGAAAACTCCAAGTCCTACATCCTGGCAAACTTCTTTGTCCAAGGCAAACAGGGCCACTGGTCACCCTATCTGATGGGAAAAACAAAAGGAAATATTAGGGGGAAAAATTTTACGATTTTTCTCTCAATGGCAGAAAAGCATCTAAGTAAACAGTTAACAAAACTAAAACCCCTTTGAGGTTTTCAAAAATTAGGTGAAAGGGATAAGAGCCCAGGAGAAGTGAGGAGGAAGTCCCATTGTCACATCTCCCACCAAGAAAAACAAATGACAACAATGCATTTAAGGACCACTCCCTCTTCTCACAATAGCACACTTGAAATAAAAAAATAGTTATTGTTTTTGAAGATTTTCAGCAGATAATGGCTGTGCTGAAGCAAGTTGAAGAAATGGGAAGACTGGTGTCCGAAGTTCTTATGTAAGAGGCCCTTGTCTGCCATGAAAGGAAAGCTTCTGTATATTCAAAGTACCAGACTTCTGCACGAGGAAGTCTTATGAAAACTTAGGGACACAACGTTTGTGGCTCTCTTCATGTCTTCATGACTAATTAGTTAACTTACATACAACCCTGTGCCGAGCTAGCTGATGGAAGTGGAGAAGGATCTCAAACTAGCAGAGTGAGTGTGTGAAAAAAAAAAAAAAAAAAAAAGTACTCATAGGAGAAAACTTGGGAGGCCAAAGAAACCCTCAGAGGCAGAGGCGGAGGCAGCGAGAAGCTTCAATCCAAACCCCAGTCATAACAGGGCCAGGGAGATCCCATCCCCAGAGTAAGCCATATCACCCCCTTCCAAAACTGGCTTCCCTTCGTATTTCTCTTTTCTTTACTTATGACAATGTGTGTGTGCGTGCGTGTGTGTGTGTGTGTGTGTGTGTGTGTGTCTGTGTATACACTCATCAGAGTGATACTGGAGATGGGGGGAGGACCCTCCACAGGGTCTGGTCCCATGGCAATCCCCTTCCTCCAGTCCTCCAAGTCATCGAATCCCGAGCGCTTGTGCAGGTGCCCAGTGTGTTCTGGCATATCAGGCTGGGGATTTGAACCATGGCTACCGTATAAGATCCAGCTTCTCTTGAGCTATGGCACTGACACCATGCCACAGAACCGGCCCCCTCCCTCCATATTTAACAGGCTGTCTCCCCACCCCTGCAAAGATCAAACAACTTTCCAGGATGTCTCAGGACTCTTACATGCAGTTTCGAGCCGCTAAATCTCGATGAAGAAAATTCCTGTTGCTCAGATACTCCATTCCCAGGGCAATATCCACCATGAACTTCAGCAATGTCTGCAGAGGAATATGCTGGGAATAGAGGACACAAGAACAAAGAACTATGTCTTAAAAAGAAAGTGTGGCAAGTTATTTTCATCTGGAGTAGGGAGACATGAGTTTTTATTTGTTGAGGTGTGGTAGTGACCCAGGGAAACAGATCTTTCATTTCCATGTCACTAATATCACAAATAAGGTTTAAACAAGGGGATAAGAAAAAAAAAAGAAACACCCTAAAACGTTTAGCAAGTGTCAGTCTCTTCTCCTTGTGTTTACAAGAATTCATGGTGAATAACATTCTGTTCCTTCCCACAAGATAAGAAGTTGAACACGATCCTCCCTATCCTGCTGGGTGGCAGTGAGACAGACAGCCCAGGTCATGCAGAGGAGAAGCAGCACCCTGGCTTTAACGGGAGTGGGGTTGTGTATGTAGGAAGAGAGTGTCGTCTAATGCGGTAGGGGCAAAAAATCATTTCAGAGGGGCTGTTTCCAAATGATCTGCCATCATTTTACTTGGAAATGTTTTGAAAGATACTTTTTTCTAGGTAGAAATTAGGATAGTCTTCACCTCTTATCTTAGGACCAAGTACCACAATATATACTCAGGGATTTTCATTCTGTCTCTCTAAGGCTCTGCTGTAAGTTTCAGCAGACTGGTGTTTCCTCTGTGTTACAGAAGTCAAGCTAGACAACTGTTAGTAAACCTGCACTGTCAGAGCTGGTGACGGGGATCACGACTGAGGAGACGTCCATATAGTAACTCAAGGTTTGAGCGCAGTAACTGCCCTAAATTAAAGGGTTTACCCCAAGCTCCTGGCTATTATGAATGGGTACGCCCACGATATGCCCTCCCCAGGCACTGAGTTTGTCACAGCTTATTCTCCATAAAACAGGAGTTTTCTGTATTTTAAATGATTTAGATTTCCCAAGCAAGATACATGTCAATTACACACTGCACATATAAATGAAGTGCTTTAATTATCTGTACCCTTAAGAAAGAGAGTTGTTTTAAAAAACATGCAAGCAAATCCTTCTGTATATTTGGGACATTTGTTTTCTCTGGATGTTAATTTCCAGGAAAGGATTTGAGTCCTGAGAAATTGCAAATTGCTGTCATTCATGAAGGCATGAGCTAGGTGCTATCCATTTGTGCTATTTTTTTTCTAAACAATTATGTTATTCTTGGAGAATATGACCGAACGTCATTTAAAAGTAATTGTGTGGTACAATTAATGAGTTCAGCAAAGATACAAGATATAAGATGGGTATACAAAAACAAATGATATCTTTATACAGTATCAATGAATACTCTGAAAAGGGAATTAAAAAAAAACAACTTCATTTACAATAGAATTATAATATACTATATAATATATTATAATAAAGTTAATTTAACAAAGGAGTGTAAAACTTACACTTTGAAAACTAAAAATTGTTGAACGAAATTAAAGATCTAAACACATTGAAAGATATCGTGTGTTCACAGACTGGAAGGTTTAATATTCCAATGATGGCAATACTTCCCAAATCAATCCACAGAGTCAGCGTAAGCCCTATCAGAATACCAGCTGGCTTCCTTGTAGAAAATGAAAGCTGACCCTAAAACATGAAAACTCAGAGAGCCCAAAATAGCAAAAGCAAGCTTGAATAAGGACCAACTGGAAGATGCATTTTCAAAATTTACTACAAAGCAACTATAATTAAGACTGTATGGTATTGATATGAGGGTAGGCATACAGATCTATGGAATAGAATGTGGAAACCAGGAGTAAGTCTGTTCCCTAGCCAACTGACTTTTAGCAAGGTGGTTAAGACTACTGACAATGGGGAGCCAGCAGGTGGCGTGGAGGCGAAGGCACTGGATCCCACATGGCTGACTGTGCAGTCCGAACCACAGATCTAGTGTCTTGTAAATATTGCCTGGTGTGTGCATGCATGTGCCCAAAGTCCCAAGAGGAGACTGGAGAAGTGACTGTGGCATGGGGGGGGACGAGTTCATTTTCTCCCTCTCTTTCTCTGGCAAGTGCATGCACCCTATAACGAAAACCAAAAACCAAAACAAAACACAAATAAATAAATGAAAAGAAAGAAAGAAAGAAAAGACTATCGACAATGGGGAAAGAATAGTTTTTTCAACAAAAAATGATTCTGGAACAAGTCAATAGCCACATCCAAAAGAATGAAATTGGACTTCTATATACAAAAGTTAACTCAAGTGATAAGAAGGAGGAGGAGGAGGAGGAGAAAAAGAAGAAAGAAGAAAGAAGAAGAAAACAAATAAAATTAAATAATTTTTTTTAAAAAAAGATGGATCGGGACCAGCAGTTAGCGTAACGGCTATGTTGCTGGACTCCCATGTAGTCAACCATAGTTTGAGTCCCAGACCTGTTGACTTAAACTCACGCCAGGGGCATGTGTGTGCGTGCGCAAGATCCTGAGAGGAAAATGGAAGAGAAGGAATTGCAGCGTGGCCAATCTGAGTGGGGAAGGCTGTGAATTAGAAATAGATGCAATAACAAATGCGCGACGACATACAGGTATAGAAAAGCGAGGACTGGGTGGGCACGGCTTCTTTGATGGAGAAGATGTGACCAGAACCAGCCTCAGGTTTATTCTTTTAAGGGGCAGAAAATGGGGGCAGGGGAAAATGGGATGCAAAGGGAATAGGGGAAAAGGAAGTGGAATACAAAGCCAGTTGTTTTTTCATGTAAATCATCTGAAGATGTGAAAATGACTGGCGCCATATACTTTCTCTGATTTTTGGGGGCGGCAATAAATGCATGTGACTTCGTTTAGCCAGATACTGGGCAATAACGGGTACTGGGTATCAACAACAGGAAGACAACCACTGACAGCAGGCAGATACTGTTCTCGTATGTAAGTGCTTCTCAAGAGCCCTGCTTGAGTAGCTTCGCCATATAATTTCTCTGATTTTTTGGGGGGGCAATCTAATAAATGCATGTGACTTCGTTTAGCCAGATACTGGGCAATAACGGGTACTGGGTATCAACAACAGGAAGACAACCACTGACAGCAGGCAGATACTGTTCTCGTATGTAAGTGCTTCTCAAGAGCCCTGCTTGAGTAGCTTAAGCATGTTTCTGCATGTGTCTACAGGCCACATGTTTTCAGACCAGCTGCTCTCCATAGGTGCGTGTGTGTGCGTGCCCAAAATCCTGAGAGGAGAATGGAGAAGGGATTGTGGTGTGGCCATTCCCCCTGGGGCTGATTTCTCGCTTTCTATCTCTCTGTCTCTCCGGCAAGCACACGTGCCCTATAGCAAAACTCTCTCAAAAAAAGGGAAGAAAACATGCAGTAAATCTTTATGACTTTGGATTCACAGTGTGTGTGTGTTTTTTTTTTTTTTTTTTTTTTTTGAGAGGTTTTTGCTACAGGGCGTGTGCGCTCGCCAGACAGACAGAGAGAGACAGAGAGATAGAAAGCAAGAAATCACCCCCCAGGGGTGATGACCACGCCTCAATCCCTTCTCCTCCATTCTCCTCTCGGGATCTTGGGCACACACGCACACGCGCCCGGCGTGAGTTTTAAGCCACCGGGTCCGGGACTTGAACCGCAGTGGACTAAGTGGGAGTCCAGCGACAGAGCCATTACGCTAACTGCTGGTCCCTATAGTGTGCTTTTTTTAAAAAAGAATGATTTATTTAATTTCATTTGTTATTACTGTTATTATTCAATTTGACAAGAGAGGCAGAGAGAGAGAGAGAGAGAAAGCAAGCTGCCAGGTTCAGGACTCGAACCATTGTCAACCACGTGGAAGTCCAGTGCCTTAACCACCACGTCACCTGCTGGCCCCTGTGTTTTTTTGTTTATTTGTTTGTTTGTTCAATAAATCTGAAAAATGAGCAAGCAACAAAAACACTGTTCCAGGAAGGAAGGAGAGAAACAGAAGAGACGAAAGGCAGGTTTCTCTCTTTTGTGTCCAGAGGCTGATGTGTGAGGATGCAATGCCTGGAAGAGTTGCTGCCACCCCGTAACCACGTGGGGCACCGGGCTGTGATGGAAGAGCAGAGAGGTGGAGCAATTCCAGACACTCAGTGATGTCGCCCAGGACAGAACTGACCTTTATCTCGGGAGAGCCAGTATCTCCTTTTTTAGGTCATTTTGTGTTGGGTTTTGTTTTACATTCTTCCTGTTACAGATCCCATAATTTGACCCCAATCATGATGGCAATGTGAAACATCTTTTAAATTTCTCTAGTAATCTGTTTTTCCCTGAAACTCCTGAGCAGGTTGTTCATATCTCTGATGCACATGTGATGGGAGACTGCAAGAACTGGGGTTGCATCCCATCACCTGCCTACTGCCCTGCCCACCTCCAGGGGTGCTATTCTCCCAAATGACAGAATGGCAGTTGGGGCCCAGTACCCAGGCCTTGCTGGAAAAGCGCTTTTGTGTACACGGAGACCTTGCTTTGGTTCACTAGCAAGAACAACAGGTTCTGTCCCAGGGAATGGACAGACCATGCAGCAAAGGAAAGCTTTGAATAAAAGTTCTAATTTTCTAGTTTGTCCATATATAATACTTTATGTCTTTCATCTTTATCTGTGGCTAATAAGTATCAAAATACAAAATACATTCCTTTTTGTAACACTTGGAAGTTATTTCCTGTCCCTGAAGATAAACTTGTAATTTTGCAAACAGAAACAATTCCCGAGTCAGCAAAACGCCGTGTACCTATTTCCCTCACTTGTTATTTTGTTCAAAACGATATGAGATCATAGCAGAACTCTGGGTAGACATAGAAAAGCTGATTGTAAAATTTATATGTAAGGGCAATAAAACTAGAATAGCCAAAATAATTCTGAAAAAGTAGAATAAAGTAAGAGGAATCATACCACATGACTTTAAGACTTAAATAAAACCGTAGTATAGTAATCTAGACAGTGAGGTGGGGCAAAGGGTGAGCACAGAGTTTAAGAGAACAGAATAAAGCTCAAAAATGTACAGCCAAGGGGTCATCAGGTGACATGGCGGTTAATGCCCTGGACTCCACATGGTCAGTGGTGGTTCTTG